TTTCTAGGGTACTTTAGGGGAGGAAATAATGGAAAAAATATTGAATTTGGGCCAAAAATGACAGAAGGAGGTCTCAAATCGAAAAGTGTCAGAGGGGGGTGTACCCTGCCCCGCGGGCCGAGAGGCGTTGATCACTGCATAATCGATGCCACCTCCCGAGGCAGCCCTGTCTGTTCTGGCCCCTCCCCCCCCCCCCCCCCCCCCCCCCTCTCTCTCTCTCTCTGTTCCACAGTTTGGTCAAAGTTTGGAGCGTGTAAACGGCGTGGCGCAGCGTGGCGCGATGCAGAAGCAGCTGCTGGAAGGGCAAGAGTCCCCCCCCCGCATCCCAAGTGGAGCGGCGTCCGAATATTAGCATCGCGGACGCACCGTGCCGTGATCATACCCCCACCCTCTCCCCGGAGAGCGTGAGCAGAAAACAGTCGTGGATGCGGGCAGCTCGTGGGGGGGGGGGGCAGCCTCCCCCACAACACCCACCCTCCATCGCCCTTTTGAGGGGGCACTACTGAAACAAAAAGGTGCCTACTACAGAAAAAATGTTAATAGTATGGTCCTTTTGGAGTGATAGCACCGTAAGAGGCACTAGCATCATTTATAGCTATGTGAGCACCTTAGTTTGTAGTGGGGAAGCACATCATCAGACTTCGTATTTTGAAAATCGCAACCTAATTTAATTCTCTTGGGAAGGTTACCCATTACAACTATTTTTTACAGTGCGTGCAAAACGGGACCGCGTGTCTGTACGTCACGGAACCCGATCGTGTCTGACGATGGTGCACGTTTTACTTCTTTGAGTCATGCATGCACGCTTTCTGTCATGTCGTACAGTGCACTGACTGCTGACTTTCGAGTCGACAGAACGTGTAAACCCTCACTGTAGCATGCTTGCGAACTATGCATTGCAACCCTGTGTTTCGCATAGCAAAGAGATAGTTAGCAACCTTGCGAAGATCTAGTTCGTATCAGAATGCTCCAAGATTCTTTGCAATCTGCAACGAAAATCGCCTGCAACACGAACCTATTCTTTGCAAGTATTTTGCTGCTGGGTCGCGGCTGCGGCGCCGTACTGTTGGTGGACCTTAAGCACAAGCACGTGTTTCGCGCGCGGTGCCGACCCACACAACAAGTTGACTCAGGTCATCTGGGACAACAACGCAAACTGCTTCGTCCAACTCACAGCGTCCAGCATTCAACTTCTCAGCCCGGCCCAGCAGAAGCACCCGGCGGCCCCCCCCCCCCCTTTTCCCTTCTCGACCACGCAGTTGATCTGGACCACTTCTACATCCTGCCGAATGTACTTTTGCTTGTGCTCTCTTTCCCCTTTCCCGCCTTCATTTCAAAAAGATCCCCCCTCCCCTTTTCTGTCCCTTCCCCAACTGCTAATTCCGCGTCCAGAGATCATAACACAGTATGATTCCATGTTTAAAAATTGTCTCGGAAAAATGAAAAATGAAGCGTAGAAAGAAATAAGAACCAAATATAGCGGAGTATACAGTGAGCAGTTACTCGCACCTAAACAGACC